GATAGGAAGATAATAATGCTGCTACATAGCCATATCTTTTACATGCCTGAAAACCATTTTTAACATGTATACCCTATCTCCTATTTCTAAGCTAAACACCATCATTCAGTTCTTCCTGGCAAACACATACTACCTAGACATGTGCTTTGGCCACATCTGTATTTTCTCCAATTAATCTACATGTGTCTAAAGTGTATCACCTTATTAGCAAATCATGAGAATAATTCAATTGCACAAAAGGACCAGTTTCTAGTTCTTGCAAGCTATGCCCTTGTTTATATTTCCAGCTTCTTCTTTGAAATTGGTGAGCTAGTGAAACAAACACAACCCAGACTCCTCTCTGAACAAATACGTACTTAGGCGGTTCACATCCTTGTCTCAGTGTAATACCCTTGTTCAAATATATAGGATTGTTTTGAGAACATTTCTCCAATTTGCTAATGCTATTTTTTCTTTTATCTTGTCCTCTAGAGTAAGGGGGGGGGAGGGGGGGGAAGACAAGTGTGGTGTTTTCAAAGACAATAAACCTGTTCTCTATTTCAATAGCCAGGCAATTAAGGAAAACAATGAATACTGGACTCCAGGACAGATCCCTTTGACTGCTATTCTATACAATCTTCCGTTTTGACAAGTAATTTTTTTATAATTATCTATTTCTCTTTTTAGATTTTTCTGTAAAATTTACTACAGTTGTTCCACTGAAATTATACACTGAATTTTTATCATGTTTGCAACTGGTTTCAGATCAACTCTTGTTTTTATAAATGAATGATTTTTGAAAGTATCACTCAAATTTATAATCTGTCTGTGAGACACACATTCTGTGGAAAGACGCCCACTTCGCATTATAAGCAAGTTTGCTTTTCAGTGAAAAGATTGTTGATGTATACTAATAATGATGCAAATGCTAAATATACAGTATGCATATGAATATTCTTCCATAAAATTCTATATACCCTAGCTGTTTCTGATTAAAAAAAAAAGTCACTATTTTGAGGAAATGTTTATTTAACAATTATTAATGGTATTGATCGAAAAGCTTAGCCAGCCCAGGAACTGTTTATTTACCTGCATTTATTGAATTGCAGACTACCATAATACCTTTATCATGCTGGCATTTCATAAGCCACCTTGCAGTATGTTAAAAAGATTAGTTGTTTACTGTAGTGCTCCTTGTATGGAACCAATGTCTGGCATGAAGCAACATTTAAAAGAAGCAGTCATGACATGGCACAATGCCAAAAGTGGTGCCACTTTTTCAACAAAGATACAAATACACACATTTTCTGCTTAAAGCTGAAAAGATTAAAAGATGCCTTAAAAACATCAGAAATATCTTTACAACGTCTGACTGTAGAAGTGTCCTGGAAAATCAGCAGGACCTTATGCAGAACTACAGATTTCAATTGTCTTCTTTTTTTTTTTCTTTATAACACTGCACAAGTTTAAATTATCTAAGTAGTGATGCTCAAGACATTGATTTTCGACCTGTAGAACAGTGAAGAGTACTTTCAAACAACATTTTGAGATGAAATGTTGACAATACAGCAGTCAATAGTAATTAATTTCAATTGAGCAGTATGAAGTAATTATCCTTTTCTTTTTGCCTTTCCAAAGGATATGCATGAAAATTTGGTTGAGGATGCACAAAACTTTAAAAATTCATAACTGCTTATTTTGAAAGAAAATTATTTTTTCCCACAGAATTTAAGTTATTTTTATTATACAGAACATATTTAGTAAAGAGTATTGAACAAAGTGTTGACCACACTAGCTTCAAGCTGCATTTGTGAGCCTTCCTTTTTTAAAGAAAAAAAAAAGGCGTTGATTTGCCAGAAAAAAGAAAAGGTTTTATTTAATCATATAACCACTGTCTTTTCAGACCCTATGTCAGTGAGGACTAGTTAGGAAATACATGTAGATTCATCTTACCAACTTATGTTATCTTGCTGTAGGACAACCTGTAGAGCATCAGTTCTAGTCAGTTGGGTTTTGTTTCTAAATAGTGACTTTATATAACTGATTTAATCAGATAGTTGGACATATACAGCAAAGGTTTAGGTTTTATGCCATTATTTTTTTCAATGTTGTGATAAGAAAACAACATGGATAGTACATACATGAAGATAGTACTTCATGCTCATTCAAGTCATTTATAGGTCATTATATATTATCTCTTAAAAAGTGACTCTATACAGTGACAATTATAAATCCAAGACGAACCACATAAAAAATTGTTTGAAAATTGACATAGCAAGTAGCATGCCCTCCTACAAATGTATGTATAAAATGAAGAGAAAAAGACTTTTTAATCTGATTTTTTTCATTCATTTTGCCATCCTTAAAATTAGGTCCAAAAGAAGTGGAATATAGGAAATGAACCTAAATATATTCTGAGATTTCAACTTCAAAATGTGGTCAGTGTTATGCCATGGCAGCTTTCCAAGTCCCAAAAAAACTGAAAGAGCAATGTAACTCAGTTTTATAAGGTGTTTCACTGAAAAGGCTGAGTATACTTATGTTTTCTTTAATATGTTTTATTTTTAAAGAATAATTTATGAAAAGCAGGTACAGATCTGAAACTGGATTCTGGAAACTCTGGTATGGGAATGTGTTTCAATTTCAAAGCCATCTTCCAGATAAACCTTAAAATTAAAATCATTATGCCTGCAGAATCTTAATACAGTCTTACACAGCCAGCTGTGGTACAGCTTTGTTTAGCCAGCATACCTACTAACATACAGAAATCTTACCACATTTACACACACTATACCTGTGGTGCTGTGTTCTAGTACATCTTTGCCAGATGAAGGAATAGCTTGTTGTAAAACCTGTGTGACTGTTGGGACTAAATAATGAGTAAGATAAGCTGTCTGAGCAAGGAAAGAATTTTTATGGATGCCTTTTGCCGAAAGTTTGTGAAGATGAGAGTGGAAAATAAACAGAAAAAGAAGACAGAAGACAGGTCAGCAGACAGATTTCTAGAGCCCCTGAGAAGTGACAGGGTAGCAAAAGATAAGCATTTTTGTCAGAATGAGAAATGCAGGGCTAGACTTGGTCAATGTAAAGCAGCCTGGGGCAAAGAAAAATAGTCCTGCTATCTAGAACAGCCAAAAAAAATGTGTCAGATGGGTAAGGGAGAGAAGTAAAACTACCCACCAACCACAAACTAAGACGAGGGAATGCATTTATGTTTCCTTAGACTACCTATTTCCTTTTGCTACCCGACTATAATGTGAGTTCTTCTTTAGAATCTGTCCTGGGTTTAGCAATAGCAGCCATTTTTTCTCCTTCTTAGTAGCTGATGCAGCGCTGTGTTTTTGACTTTCGGCCTGGGAACAGTGCTGATAACATCAATGTTTTTAGTTACTGCTCAAACGTTTAGTCTGACCAAGGACTTTCTGAGCTTCATGCTCTGCCAGGGAGGAGGGGGAGATGGGAGGAAGCAGAGACAGGACACCTGACTCAAACTGACCAAAGAGGTATTTCATACCACAGCACGTCATGCCCAGGATATAACTGAGAGTTACCCGGAAGGTCTGGTTCACTACTCAGTTGGGCTGGGTATTATTGGTCAGCAGGAGGTGACATGGTGTATTCTTTTCACTTGTTATTTCCTTTATCATTATCATTATTCATGGCAGAAGTACTAATTTGTGTTATACCTTAGGTACTGGACTGTTCTTATCCCAACCCGTGGGAGTTACATTCTTTTGATTCTCCTTCCCATCCCTCCAGGAGCAGGGGGAAGAAAGGGGGGGGGGGGGCGGGAAAGTAGACTGCATGGTTCTGATTTACAGCCTGAGCATAAACCATTACAGAATCCCAGAAAAAGTTTTCGCATACCATGGACTACATTTCAAGTACAATGCTCTGTAGGCAAAGAGTAGAAGATCCATCAGTAGGTAACTAGCACATCTTCATACCTTCTATTTGACAGAGGCATTGACTGAATCTTGCTTTCACTCCACTGATGACCAAACACTTTCAATCATAAATTACTACACATAGATCAAGATATTGTGACAAGATAAAGAACATCAGAAATCACTGTCAATGTAGAGGCAGAGTATGAAACAACGGGTTATCTTTTATAATAAAGAATGACAGTAGCAACAGTAACAAAAACAAAGAGCAAATCTAAACCCCACCTCCTGCCATTCCAAAAATTATTTTAATTTACACCAGCTGCCATTTCTAATTTTAGGATAGGTCTTCCCTCCCTTTAAACTATTATTTGCCAATCTCTGAGTTCAGATTTTCACTCATTCTTTCTGGCTTTAACCTACTGTCTCTGTTCCTCTCTTCACACTCATCTTCCTCATCTTTTGCAACATCAGTTTTCCCAATAAAGTTCAGTTTAACCTCTGAGTTCTCTGGCATCTTTGCCCTTTGTTTTTTTCATTTTTTCATTCAACTCTGAATTAACCCACTAACTATCAAAACAGACAGAATGCCCAGTGGCCTGACACTCCTGGCTATCTATGAATTATTCCTTCTTCGAGCCACCATTTGATTTGTTTAAATATCTTTATTCACTATAAGTGTTGCAAAATTCATTCAGCAGTGGAATTCCTGATGTATAGATCATTTTATAATCCCTCCTGCATTTTTATTTATGGCAATTAGGATACTGATTCCTGACTTCCAGGTTCTACAGCCCCAGTTATTTGCCTCTCTATAGTGTTCATCATTCTAGCCTAGATTTTAAATCAAAGTCAGATTCTTCTGGTTTAGCAATTCTTTAGCTACTGGGAGAAATCCCATAACTATGCTGAACAAGAAATTCATCTCCTGCCTCAGTTCTATTGTCCCCCTGTACTGTCCCCAGTTATTCCTACATTTCTGCATATTATGCAGTCCTATTGCAGTTGTTTTTCACCATTTCACCTTCTCTTTTCTTCTTTTCATCAGCAGGCCTGTTTAATTAAAAAAAAAAAAAAAAACAACCCTGCTTTTTAAAAGCCTACTAATGCTTTTTCATGAATATCAGGTTTTGCGTTGTCCTGAATATACACAGAAAATAAAATGCAATCACCCTGTACTATACAAAGGAGTAGAAAAAAGTTCAATGCTTAAAAACATTTTAAAATATATTTAATAATTTCAAGGTTCTTAGCCATTCACTGTATGCATTTACACAGCATCACTACAGAAAAGTACTCTTCTAAATAAAATACCCCAAACATTTATTTCTTTCGCTATCCATTTCTTCAGTTTCTAACTCATAATGTTTCATTGCAACAAAGTATCGAATAAAAGTTTCACCTAATGCTTCCTTAATGCAAGAATCTTTCTTGAGTGCAACAAGAGCATCTTCTAGTTTCAGAGGGACTGATGAATGTTTCAAATCAGCAGTGTGATTTTCTTCTTGGAGCATATCATCATACCTAAGTTCTCTCTTTATTCCATCTAGACCTGCAGCAATAGTAGCAGCAAGCACCAGGTATGGGTTTGCTGCAGCAGAACTTAACTTATTCTCTATGTGAGTGCCTTTTCCACCATGACATTTGACATTAAAGGCACAGCTGTTATCATTATATGCCCATTTTGCGTTTACAGTCTCTTTTGATTCCTTACTGTATTTAGAATAAGGTTTACGGCAGCTGGTGGTAGGAGCCATCAAGCAGCTGATAGCTGCTGTGTGTGCCAAGAGACCTGATAACCAATTTTTTCCAATATCTGAGAGCTCCTCAACTCCATAACCAGCAGAAAACAAATTCTTCTGGCCATCCAAATCCCACAGGCTATGTGACAGAGCCCCTGAGTTGTAGAATCCTGATTCTGAGAAAAAGCTAGCCACATAGTTATATTTCTTAGCCACCTCTTTAATTCCTGTTCTAAATGTGAAAGCACTGTCAGCAGCATCTATGCCAAATGCTGGATGAAAAGTGATCTCCATTTGCCCAGGCCCAGTGGAAGAAGAAAAGCTTTCAATGTTGGCACCAGCATAATACATTCCTTCAATGAGCTCCTGAATGAAAGTCTGGTCGTGGTTATTTAGTATCGTGGCTGCAGGAAAGGATATTGTCTTAGAATTTACAACCTCAGTAATGCCATAAATACAAAATTCATAAGTGAAGGCAGAGCGCAGAGAAAAGCCATTGTCCTGAAGCTGGCTCAGCTGTTTCTTGGCAATGTGCCTTGGTGAGGTCATTAGCGGGTTACCCAGCACAGTGAAGGAATCACATATCACTCTTGCAGTCTGCTCAGTCCAGGGTAGTATTCGAAATGTTGATAAATCCGGGTTCAGGATTATGTCACAATTAAAATTGGTTGCATTTATGTAATCTAATTCATTATCTTTAGGATTCAGCGTCAGCTCAAGGTAACTTCTGGGCATGGCAACACCATGAATTGCTTTCTCCTAAACACAGAGCAGAATGACAGATTACAAATGAGAAAAGAAATCAATAGTATTTTTACATATGTAAAATATATAAAACCCAGATTCTCTGTAAGAACAATTGTATTTTTCCTAAAAGAACACTGAAATGCAGTGATCACAGAAGTAAAGAGCAACAGCCAGTTACTTTGACATTATGAAGCAAAACAACTTTCTACAAGGTTAGTATGAAAACCCCGGCACCAAATATCCCAATGACCATTTTTTAAATTTCTGCAAAGAACTGAAACAATGTTTAACACTTACCTTGCATGGTATTTATACAACTACAGGCATCACCAGTTAGGTGCAAACTTTGCAAGTCAAATTTCTATTTATACTTACTCCATTAGGCTTCCATAACCTTTGAGCATTTCCTTTACATAGATCCAAGTGACCACAAGACATACAACTTCAGGCTGCAACTTCCCTTTACATGCCATAACACATACCTCACTGTTTTTCAGATTGAAAATTTAACTGAAAATTATCACTTCCTGGACTTAATAAGTTTGGGGATAAAATGCAGGGAAGCACCTCGAAGTGAAAAATCATCCCAATGTTTCAGTACTCTGCTTCTAGGTAGCAAAGAGGATAAACTCATAATTATATTTCCTTCTCCATTAAAACAGGGAGCTCCAATTTACAGAAATAAAATACAGATAGGACACTAACGAAGGATCATCTGCCTTCAAACAAGCACTTTACAACTTACCTTACATTCAAACCTTTAGCTGATGAAAACTGCAATTATGCCAAGTTCTGTTAAGAGAAATTTGGCTTATGTTTACATCTTACCTTTACTCTTCTAAGGGAAAGGATTGCCATCTAAGTGAGCAGAGGAGGCAAAACAAACCTAGAAAGGGGCAAGCTCAGATCTGAAAGAAACCCAAAGTTTTGCCTAACTAGATGGAAAATTATTTAAATACTTCAAACTGCACAGGGTGGCTTCTCTTAAAATTAATAAAGTCCACCTTCTCTTAAGGAAGTGGCAGTCCACTGATACCAATTCTCCCTGTGTGACACCCATAACCAAAACTGCACAGAATGGTGAATACTGCTCAAATATGTCTAAGCTGCCCATGTGACAGCAAAGAGATGTTGAAGGTAATTACCCTATAGTACTACTTCTCCCTACTCTAACCCCGCTATGTGAAAAAATGAGAAAAAAAAAGGAAACTTATACCAGTTGCTCTGTATGTATACATTTGTGTGTGTGTTCACATACGCATTGTTTTATGTCAAAAGCTTTACTGTCAGCCCAGCCTCGATGTGTTCAGATGGTAAGATAAATACAAAAGCTGTCTTTGAACAAGCTGACTAGACATTTGCAATTTGATATAGCAACTGAAAGAGAAGTTGCAATTAACCTACCACCCCTCACAAGAATTCAAGTGACTGAAAGTTTATACTTATAAAATCCACATAACATCAGAGAGAACAAATTGCATCTAGATGATACAGTTACAGTTTAGCAATATCGAAGAGAGAAGTATTGAAAATATGGCTTAGGCTCCAGAACGAACTTCAAACAAAACTGCTCTACATCTTTTCATGTTCATATCTTTTTTTGTGATCCCTCAGTATAGCTTAAAATACTCGTGTTGAAACATGAGTGAAAGTATAATGGAGTTGTGCGCATGAAAGCAATATACTGAAATATGTCACTGAAGCAATATACTGAAAGGGCTGATCAGTCAAGGCTACATGTTGTAAGGATATCCTTCTAATTTGGTTCTTATTTTCTGAATCAAAAATATGGCAAATATTGCTATTAAGTCATCATGCAACCCAATAGTATCTTCAGGTGATTGATGACTATAAAATTTCTCATAGCTAATACCATTTTCATTCAGTTATTTTCTTTCATTCAGCATTTACCCTCTCCTTTTTGCAATTTAGTGATGTGCAATAAAACCAAAGCTTTATAATGCAGTGAACCTGAAAAAATAATTCTGAAGGAAGAGATTATTAGAAATCCAAGGAACTGAAATTACTAGCCTTACTTAATTAGATTACTATCAGGGACAGTGGAATAGAGTGCAGTGATGAAAAAGTCCAGAACCTTTGGGAGCATTAAAAAGTGGAGGGAACAGATAATTTGTTCTAAGTTTGAGTTTCTGCCTGCGCTATGAAAAAAAAAAAAAACAAACAAAACCATAGAAATTAAGGACAGAGCCATGAAAACACATAAACACACAGTCAGAAACAAACAAAAAAAAACTTACATGAAAAAAGCGAGAAGGAATATTCTTTGATCTTGACACACCATGGAGGTCTATTGATTCAAATCTAACAAACTGTACGTTGTCCCTGGCCATCTGCTGCTTAATAAATTCAATATGAGAGAACAGTTGAAGGAGAGTTGGACTTCCAAGGCCGTTTACATCAGGCTCTCTGCTGGATGCTGTAAGTGAAGAGGAATGGTCACATCAAGCAAAATAATGAACATTGGAATACAAGCTGTTTCATAGTGTAATAGTGGGAAACTGTGCCATGGAGTGTAAAAGCAAAAGTAAGAAAAATGTATGAATCATGAAACATTTTTGTAAATAAATACACTTACCCCATCTTTCCCACCCACATTCCCTCCCACTCCCCTACCCCCAAGATGTGTACAAAATCCCTTATTTTTTTTGAATGGCCTATAACTTACACTTTTCTTCAAGTTGATGAGAGAACACAGGGGAATCATACAGAAAAGCCAGGAATTACTGAGGGATACCTCAGCTGTTGAGTGTTTTTAGTAGCACAAATAAGAGCCAGATACATATTTCCGACTAAAAACTGATAGAATTCAAGTGCAATATTGTTTCAATTCTTTTGAAAAAAACACGGAGAAACATGATAAAAAGGGCACTCGTCTTCTTCTAAATCTTTCTCAAGACCTCCTGAGGATGTCTGCCATTTTCTCCACCACAGGCAGCAGACTTTTAAGAGAAGTTTATGCATTTATGCATTTGCTGTTATAGAGCTGCCTTAACTGTATTACAGCAGCTGTAGGACTGTATAAACTTCTTGACGTGAAAGCAGTAACATCTGAGTATAAGTTCTGTAATGGATCAGAGAGCTGGGCACAATCACGTCCACTCACAAACCTCTCGATCTCACAGCCTCCTTTTCTTTTGTGTATCTACGTATGGGTATTATTCAAGTTAAACTACATAAGGTGTTCATTGTCATTTAGTCAATAAACTAACAAGACCAAGGGTAATATTTTATATTAAGATATGAAAAATGTGAAAAAAAATATTTCTTTCTACACTTCTGGGAGGAAAGTCCTCCATTATTCCTGAGGCTACAATCAGACGAATTTTTGCAGATCTTTCAGATCCACAGTGGAAGATCACTAACAGCAACAATTCACCACCACCCTTCAAGTGGAAGTTGAAAGCCTTGTGTTGAGGCACCATGAAGGTTGATGGAATACTCCTGATCTCTCCAGTGCCAACTCCAGGGACAGAAGTTTAAGGGTTTGGTCTTTTTACAAGCAGTGGTCAATCCCTTACTCTACACATTACATTTCCTGTCTACCACCTGTCACACAGAGATTTTTATGCCATATATTATTAAAAGTAAAGTTTTACTGGCAACACTTCACATAAGAATATTGTCAGGTTTTGACATAAATTTTGCAAGTATTTCTTACAATGTCCTGAAATGTTGCCTTTTAAATTTACACCTACTAAACAAATATTTTTCAGGTTAAAACCATATAATTCACAATAAACAACAACTTTGACCCATGTAATTCTTTAAATCAGTATTCCTAAGATATACAAATTATATAAAAGAGCTAAGAAAAACACAAATTTGAATGCATTTATATTGTGTATGAATTTATTTTAAAAGTAAAAATACAGCTATACTTGATTTAAACATCTACCAATGATAGGTAATTTTCAAAATGTTATATATATATATGTATTAGTCATCTTCAAGCTAAATTTATTTGCATGAAAGCATAAATAAATAATTGGATTATATGAAATCACATAAATTAACAGAAAACTCCTATAAAGTCATTTAAAAGACATTAAGGAAGCAAAATTATTAACTAAAGAAGAAAGAATTTGTTTTCTCCATTTGCACTTGTTATGATCCATGATAGATCTTTTTAAATTATGAGACTAAAATTTATATACTGGTCTACTACTAGTCTGAAATTAGGCTATATACCAGTGTAGACAGCCTGCTGACCAAAAGACAAGATACTTATTAATTTACAGTAGCTTTTATCCAAAATCTGTTAGAATCAATAGAGACACTCCCACAGCTTTCACATACACTTTAGAGGTAATTCATCGTTTGCAGATTATCTTTCCCATAGAAATAATAAGTTCTGTAAATAGTATGATAAATAAAAATACCATAATGACTTAATATATCTGACTGATTTTTGGAAACATTAAATTGGATTTGTTTCTTAAATAATATTTCATGAATAACTACTGGCAATACTTATTTTTCTCTAGCACAGGTCCCAGAATGTATTTTCTTGGTAGCCACTAAATGAATCACTGGCAAACTAAGTCCATAAAGCTAATGAGGAATAAAGTTTGGAAACGTAGAGTAGGGAATTGAGTACTCTTGTCTTTTCCGAGTTCATGCAGTCATTATCCAGAGCATTAGCTACTGGAGGTAAAGTAGCTAATAAATAAGTATTAGATAAGTCTAGATGATTGAGATACACAGTCTAAAAGTCCTATATTCTTATGACGGAGGGTTGAGTTCATGAGTATACTGTTTTCCCAGCTCTCTGGGTCTCTAGAAATAATGCCTTTTTTTTTTTTTTCCATTTCAGAAAACTGACTTGTGGAAACATGTATGCAAATTTCACAAGATGCTCAGATTTTGGTTCAGATTTTCATTTTGAATGTCAACTATAAATCCAGACTGGTCATCTTTTAAAACGATCATCATTCACCAAAGGCGAATGGTACATACAGATTCTTAGATATCTGTATCAAATCAGTAGGACACAGAAAAACAGTTTGTTTTTCTATGGTTCTGTCTGTATTTCCCATTTAAGTTACCACTGAGAAACAATTAGTATTATAATAATTCTTTCATAATTAGTACAAAATATCTTTGAATACAATCTAATTATCTTCATATATTTAAAAATATTAATAATACAAAACTAACAATATTACTCAAAAAAATCTCCAAATTACACAAATTGTATTATTATTCTTTACTGTGGAAGAGTGGTGCCATTCTTAGGTTGGTAACATTGAATTAATTAGACTGCTTAGAGCAGCTGACATTAGGCTAGGGCAAATAGTTAATATCAGCTTTATCTTCCCAACAACAGAAAAGTGCCACAACAGAAAAAGTGCACAGGTCCCAGATCAATCTGTCATTATCTGCTTATTCAAAGAAATCCTTTCCCATGGTCCCTTATTAAATCACACTGCAACTAAACCAAACAATTTCTCAGCTCTAGAAGAGGTGACCGTGTCAAACTGATGAAACAAAAAGAACGTGCTACATGTTGCCAGGGGACTTCACAATGACAGGAGCAGGCTGACCTAACAAATGTGGTAATATAGGAAACTCTCCACTGTGAAACACAACCACCAATGTAACGTAAGGCAATAACAGCAGGCACTAGCAGGTAGACTCCAGATATGAATCATATATTGGTGAAGGAGATGCGTTTCCATCAGTCCTTCCCCAGTCTCTTCCTCCCACTGCCTCCCACAGTACAGCAGCTGCTGCACTGCACATCCTCCTACTCCCTGTGGGACAGGGTCTCAGCATACCTGAGTCCCATGCAGGGTCAGAACACTCATCCCTGTGCTCTCTGGAACACTGTGACACTTGCTACTGTCTCAGAGCAATAGGGAAATAAAAACCCTTGTGAGCATAGGAATTGCCACATCAGTCAAGGCAGTGTTTCATCACATACTGCTGTCTGGCACCAGCTATTAACAGAAAAAGCAAGGTGTTCTTTGCAAAATAATCTATCTAAACAGAGTGGGGTTTGCAGTTCCTCACTAAAAAGGGGGCTGTTGTTAGGAGCAGGAAGGTTAATATCCAAATTTGTCTCAATTTCTTCTTCATCCTAGGAAATCTAACACTGGGTGCTGTGAAGATCTGTGTGAATACTGACACCCTTTATAAAAACAGATACATTATGCTGATGATAACCACTAGCAATGAGTCCCACAGTGTAATCGCACATCTGCACTCTTCTAAATCCTTTGGAAATTCCTGTAAGTACTAATTTAAATACATCTGCTCTTCCTTACAGGACTCCAATTTGGGTATTTAAGAATAAACACTCTATCTGATTTGTACAGCATGTTACTTACTGTTCTCGTATTTGTCTTCAAAAATTAACAGCCTCTATTTCTGAAATCTCATGTGACAGCTTTTCCTATGCTAGATATTACTCTTATTGCTAGTTTTTAAAGCCCTTATTTTTTATTCCCACTTGGTTTTTAACATAGTAAATAGATATGAGCATCGGGCTACCTTTGATAAGTACTATTGGTGTAAATAGTGATTAGAAGCATTTTCAGTTGAAGACATTACGTAATTTACGTTTCTTTTTCACCCCCAAAAGAAGTTAGACCAAAAATGTTCACTGATAGGTCAGTAAAGTATTTGATTTCTTCAGTCAAGTACATAAAAAGTTGTTTCTTACCTCGTATTTTTGCTCCCCAGCAACTACCCTAACAGAGTAATAAATATATGAGCACTAAATACGTTTCCCTCATCTGTTTGATATTGATAATTTCAACTTTTTTTCCATCTGTTTCTTTGTCTCATGATAATCTGCTTTCTTTTTTAATCTTAACTATGAAGGCTTTTTTACTGATATGGCCATGGGGAAGCTCAGGTCTTTTTAATGAGTTTTATAGGTAATTTAGAGACCAATGAACAGCTTCAACCATCCGTGAATTATTTTTTGCAACTGTATGACAGCAACACGATACAGCTTCTTAGAGGAGCTACATTATCAAGAATTGAATACAAAATAAGATTTTATTTTTCAATAGATGAAAGATAAAATAAATCACTTATACTTTTTTATTTTGTGAGGTATTTTATTAAAATGGCTCTTCTTTACTGAATGAGAAAATGATCAAAGTTTTACAGAAAGGTTAGAAAATATTCCACCTAGGCAAGAAGATTTGAAAACAAAATATGCAGGTGTCTGAAAAAGATTAAGGTGGATAATACCCCCTGGAACCACCTAACTAATAATCCCAAATATGATGCATCGACAGTGGCATGCCTTTCTTCAAACTCAAATGGAAAATTTGGATTTCAGGAAAAATTCACTGAGCAAAGTTGCATGAACTAAGATATACACTATTGCAAACTAGGTAGCCGCTTCTGGTCTAAAAATGTTTGACTTAATTTTAAAAAATCGGGTGAGAATGAGGTCTAAAGGGAAGCAAGGTTATTTAAGGAAGAGAAGATTTTTTGCATGGTACTGAAGGTAACGACTAAGCTCTTCTTGAATATGTTGTAGAAGGAGAAGTGGATGACAGAGACATCAAGCAAAGAATGCTTACACTACCCTTACACTCAGTCTAAACTAAATGGTTTTGGCAACCTTTCATTATTACTAGAAAGCAAATAAACATCTCCAATGGGTAGGTCTGAATGAACCTTTCTCACACAGTCACAGGATCATAGAATCATAGAATAGTTAGGGTTGGAAAGGACCTTAAGATCATCAAGTTCCAACCCCTCTGCCATGGGCAGGGACACCTCACACTAGCTAACTACAGGCAATAGAGACAGATGAGTTGGATCTTATCCGAAGGGGGACAAAATAGATCAGAAAAATGGGATGAAAGTGCTGTCTGAGTATTTTTTTGTTTTGTATAGATTGAGGGGGAAAATGGAAAATCATAGTCACAGAACAGGAAGATTTCAGCTATTTCAGGTACGGAAAATAAAGAACTTAAGAGCTTCGGTATGCTTTAAAGAAAAATAGTTGCTTTTAAGGCATGTGCATTAAAAAAAAAAAAAAAGAAAGCAAGTTATATATATCTCAGTTTACAGGGAAAAGGAAAGAAAAGGGTGGAAAATACGGGTTTTTTTAACAGAAAATAAGGGAAATCCAGAAGGTTTAGAAAAGAGTGAAGCTTCATCCCTGCTCTGTTCAAGTTGAGTTCGAAATGCAGAAAAAGAAATATTGGGGAAAATATATTGAACTGCAGATAGGGCAGCTCAATAGACTTTCGCAAATGAGGAAGGAACATGAAGGAGCAATACGGCTTTGGATTTTCACTTTAGGAGAGATGCGAAACCTGCACAGATTGTATCAAATACAAAGCAGAGAAGAGTAGCAACTGAAAAACACAGTCCCAAGTAACCCCCAAAGTAAGACTGGTTATTCTGCCGGAATGACTGCAGAGGCAGGGAATATGAAGTGTTCGCTGACCTCCTGATTGTCCATTTACGGCTCCTGAAGAGTCCCTGTTTCTATTTCCTTCACCACTGGCTAGACTTACTGAACAGAATCAGTGCTTCCAGGTAAGCAAAAAGGACAGTGGAATCACAGGGGGAGCTCAATTTTTTTGAAAAATGTATGGACAAATTTCTTAATTTCAATGGAGCAAAAGGCCTGAGATATTTGTTTCTCTGAAGTCTTCTTTTCATAATTCTACCCCTAAATACTAGGTATTATTATTTGTGACTGCCCTATTACTAAAAATAAGAGCTTTAAACAAGTTTAACATGACAAGATGAGGTTATTCATTGTAAAAAAAAAGGAATTGATTTTAGGACTGATGACATCCACTCTTAAGTATGAAATCTAGTCTGTTAGCATCTACTTGATATGCTTTCTCTAAAATCACAGTTTAGCAAAGGAACCTTGTGTTTGGGGTCAGTGCTTGCATAACATTTCATGTGATTCTTGAGGTGTTCAAACCTTTTCTACCTGTGCACTTGAAATTTCAACAGTCACTAGGTAACGACCGATGCCTGCAGCTACAGTGTAGACTTATTTTCTTTCTTCAGAAATTTCGCTCTCCTTCCAACAGTTCCTGATTCTGTGCTGGTCATATTTACATGGGCTTACTTGGTATGTGCTCCAGAAGATGAGCCCTTTTGAGAGGACCTGCTCCTGGAGGTGTTCAGGTTTCTAGGTCCCAGCTCTGCAGTCTGCACTCAAGCAGATTTTAACAAACATTTTATCCCAGCTACAGACAAAGAGATACAAAAGGATTTGAAGTCTCAGGTGTCAGCCTGATTCCAGTGTGGAATCAGGCTACCTGGAGATTCTGTTGACTCACAAGGTTCAGTGGAGAGATTTCTCCTAAACCTGCGTGGTAACACCAGGCTCTGCAGGTTCCTCTGACCATACACAGTACACGTCATTTGAAGTCCCTGGCTGTGGCAGCCCATATTCTCCTGTGACAAAGAGAAGCCCAACAGTGTGGTGCGCCATGATCCTTGAGAACTTCATATTTCTCAAATAAATTTATTTTCTTTGGATTCCTCTCTGGCTATCATAGTATTTATACTATGATAGTATACTATTTATATTTTTATACTATTTGTACTATTAAATTTAGTAGCATGCAGAGCAGACATGAAAACATCTAAGTTAGGAGAGGTAAATATTACATTCTTACAGAACTTACATTCTGTGCTGTGTACACTATACATATACTGCATGCATGCATTCATGTGTGTGCGTGTGTACAAGTTATGAAGTGCTATATTACACTATATACACAAAATTTCATCTGAAATTTTACTCTTTAGTATCCTGCCTCTTGAGTCTCCCAAGAATGCAGGCACAGAACAGCTTAAGAAGCCCTTGATTATTAATGACTACATACTAATTTGCAGAAGTGTGCATCATTATCATATATAGAGATATAAGCAAATAAAACTCCTAAATTCAGGCTGGTGTAGTCAGTATGTTTGACTAATTAGCTACATGTGTTAGTTTTTATCTTTCCATGGTGATGAAGTAGATTAAAAGAGCTTTAGCTTTAGCTTCAGCTCCAGTTTCACTGACACTGCCCAAGTAAAATTTTTTGTACTGGCCCAAATAACTTGCATGTATGACTTTTTTCTATTTTTTTTTTTTCCCATGTCCAAGCACTTTGGATAAAAGTCCTGACAAGCAATGGACAAAATGCATGGTCAGTAATATTTTCACAATTTCCAGTCAGAATTTTGAAAAAATATCTGGATTTATTATTTCAGAGGGATGTCAACCATGTAACTAACATGACTGTATTTCAGTTCTCTGCAGTACACTGAAACGGTAAAGCTCAGCTACAGGTCTTAGCTTCTTTAATGCTGACATCATTTATAGATTGTCCCTTAATTGTGTACTTTTAAAACAGCAAGGTATATTCTGGCACTGGCCACAGCACGACATTAAGTAGATCTGAAATACAACCTCTTGTAATTTTTCCAGATATTTTGGATCAAGATTTGCAATTTGAGCAAATACAAATATTTAAAAACTTCCCAATTACAAGACAATGTCTTTCATATATACTCAGTGTTGAGATATGTTTAGATCCAAGACTTCAGGCGCTTCAGTAACTAAAATATTTAAGGTAATATTTTAGTCATAAAAATGAAATATTTATAATTTTATCTTATCATTTTTAATAATTTATCACTGGCAGTAATTAAATAGTCTTTATGCAAAGGCTCATTAAAGAGTGCAGAATTTTATCTAAAAATGTCTTCTTTGAAGTTACTGAATGTATTCAATGAAAATTAAATTTCAAACACCTACATGTCAAATTAAGTAGAAACTATTTCTCTGCATTCCATTTACTAGTGAAAACACACACTGAGCCCTACAATTTGTTTAGTCAAAGCCAAATGGAATCCAAACCTCATGAGATTCCAAAACTTTTGGAATCAAAAGCATCAAGTGTAGTCCGAGAAATTATTCTCTAATCTCTTTATTCTTATAGACGTGAATAGAGAGTGATTTAAGCACAAAACCTTTTCAAAGCTTTATATTTTTCATGCAGTGCTCTGAGTTAGGACTGATAATGTTCATCAATATCTTGTTCAAGCCTGTTCAAACTGGGTTACACAATATGTCTACTGAGAAATCCTACTCTAGCCAATAACATTTATATATTCAGATTTTCTGTTTTCAGAGTATGTATAGCAGTATGTCTACACTTCTGAAAGGAGACTTAAAAAGCAAAAAAAAAAAAAAAGCAGGATAACTTAATATTGTTGTAAAAATTAGTTGTTACTATTATATTTTATTGAATAGTTAATGATGGACAAAGTATTTTATCAATGAAGATTCATACTTCTTGTATCAGTGAGATAAGTCAGAGGGTAAAATGCCTATCCTGAAGAGCTGATAATATGATCCAAGCCTGATGCTTCTTACTGGAAACTTATTAATCTGATACCTATTCAACTGGCAAATTGTTTTTCGTGTGCTTCCTGGAATAGACACAAAACAAGGGACTGCTCTAAGCCCATTATTATCATAGCTAATGGTAGCTTTCAGTTTGCTGATCCAGCTAGCCCTGTCTTTTCTTACAGTTTCTAAGAAATCACAGCATATTAGTAGCAATTAATTGACTCTATAAACACTTCCAAAATGGACTTACTGAACAGCATGAAGATTAGTGGAAGTTCTCTGCTTCATTTGCTTTTCTTCCCCTATAGTTTATATGAGATGGTTTTGCATTCCAGTCTTCCCACAGGACAGATATTGAAAACATCATCATATTGAAAAGAGCAATTTCTGCTGCTGGAAAGGTTAACAAAAAGGACACTTTAAGAAACCCAGACACCATCAGGGCTTTGCAGTGTCCAGCAGAATTTTGGGAAATGTTTCCTGTGCTCAGTTCAAATGAGGAAATATTTCAGTTGTAGTGAAAAAGACAAGACCACTTGTGTGTGGCAGGTTTTGGCAGGCAGCTGAGCTTCAAAAATGATTTTACTTAAAAAAAAAAAAAAAAAAGCATAGACATAGAGCACAACTTCTGATCCATCCCAATCACACAGAAACCACAGGTGACAATTCTCTCATGCACTAGCTCTGACTAAAGTTTACTGCTTAACAAAACTGCACAAAACAACAATAGGAGCATTTTCTTTAACAGAACAACAGGTGATGCTTAAATATCCTTACCAGCATGGTCTGCAGAGGAGTCAAAGGAAATCTCAGGAGCATTGCTTTCTGCATGTGGAGAAGCTGCAGGTAGTCCCAGAATGAGTTGATCCACATTGCTTCCCACTGACTGCTGCTGATCAGACCCAGCAGAGCTGAGGACCAGCAGAGGTTTGCTCTGTTGCCCCACTCCCTCCTTGTGGAAGTTGCGGTACTTTCTGTTCTCTCCAAAATGAGGACTAAAAGTCTCAAAGAGTTGACTCTGCTTGTCAGCTGTCCTGTCATGGGGTTTTATGATGTTTTTCTGAGGGAAAGTGCCACCTGCCTTGCCACTGTAATTGGGCCTAGGAGCAGGCAGAGAACCTTCACTCAGCAGGTTTTTCAGCTCTTGCAGGCTTTGTTTAGAAAGGCCAGGTGCCCTTTGGAAGGACTTTGCAGCACCGTGTCCTTGTGTGGTTGCAGTACCGCATCCTTGTGTGGGTACAGTACCGCCCAGGGAGCCCGTCTTTGTCATGTGAAACTTGACATCTCTTTCTTCCACCCCACCCTGTTCTGCTTGCTTACTCTCTGCCTTCTCATCGCACTCTCCCCTGCAAGCTGACTCTGCGCACACAGTTTTCCCTGCACTGCTTGCAGGTTGCACACCTGTGTACTTCTCTGTTTTAGCTGTTTCATCTATTTCCTCATCTATTTGACCTAATATTCTTTTCCCAGGGCCATCATTCTCCTGTTTTTCTCGTGTTTCTCCAGACATGTTTTCTTTCACACTGCTGTCAGTATGAGAACTGTCACTGCCCCCTATGTCCTTCTCTACTAAAGAAAAGCTAGTTAGGTTTTGAAGAGATGGGTCTGATGGTGGTCCTGAGCAACCAGTAGTTCCTTGTTGAGGACAGGAATCTGGGTTCTCTGAAGTGCAGGACAGCTCCATCTTCGCATTTTGTAGAGGAGGAATGTACTTTGTAGGACCTTTGACTCCCTTTTTCTTTCTGAAACCACATATATGGTTGCCATCAACTTCATCATTGTCCCTTTCAGATGTGTTCTGTAACCAGCAACAAAATATATAACCAAATAACAGGCATGAATGAAACAGAACATGACAATGAAGTACCACCAACAGCTGCATTTGCCTTGTAGCACTTCCATTAATTCTTGCTGATGGAGATCTTTGTGGACACTTACTGACCCTCAAATTCTGCTATTTTGATTTTAAAAAAACCTCACATAATTCTTTTTCTTATGTTTAAGAACAAAATTGGTGAATATACCTTTATAGTTTAGTTTTTTTCAGATTTAGTGTATTAAAATACAGATATTGTACACTGCGTGACATCATTTGTCAGACATTTGTCACATGCAACCTTTAAATGAGAAAAAATATGTATATTAATAATTGCATGTAAGTATATTCTTGTTCATATTAAAAGCATTTGTATATTTAAAGAAAATATATTGTCCTGAAACACAGAACACTGGCAATCCATGTAAGGATGGGGAGTGAAATCTGAAAATAAACAGCTTTTAAATGAATTTCAGGATCTAATTTGGCCAAGAACTGAACCTTCAGGGCAGTGATAAAAAGGACAAACCCATATTTGGATGAGTAAATGGGAAAGAACCAAAAGATGATGTTTACCTTTATATATGGCATTGATATGATTTATATTGTAGTGCTAGGAACAGATTTCAAAATGGTTGTAATCATGTAGAGAAGGTGCAAAAAGGAGCTATAAAAATTAATTGCTTGCATTATCCCAAAGAATATCAAGAAGTGTCTAGATCATTGTCTCTCCTAAATATCCTGATACTACTACCAGAGGTGTGCTTAATCTGATGTTGTCTGGGAAAAGAGTAGGAAATCAAAACTAGATGCGTTCAAATTAAAAACTAGTGGGCATTTTAATATTGTGGGTGATTAATTACTTCACAAACTATCAAGGTAATTAATGAATTCTCCACCTCATGATGTCTTAAAATAGACTTCTTAATACAGTTTAACCAAAATATATATCACTCTGTAACCAGTCACAGTTATATTGCCTCTGAATATCTACTCAATCATGTATTTAAGACTTGGTAGCTTAACCAGCAGTCCTTGGTTTGTTTGGGTTAAACTGGAATTAACGCCTGTAAAACCACTGGGAGATCAAGATATATTCTCTGAATTAAACCATTCTTTACCTTTTCCACAAAGGAATAATCTGCACTCTTTGCAATTTCTGAGTTTCCAAAAGAAATAGGGGTCTGCACAAAAACAAAGTGAATGCCAGTCTGGATAAGGCAAAAGAGATTCATGTTGGCAGACAAAAACACATAGAAGAGAAGGCAGCAGCATCTGATGTGCATATGGAAGGAAACAGTTACATGGTCTCCATTAAGGTCATTAACACCTTTTTTTTCTATATTAATCCTCCCTATTTTTCCTATTTTCTCATTATGCTATTTTCCATCATTTTATAGTCAAAAACGTCTTATGACTTTTGTTTTAACACAGGCTCATAGAAGTATTTCCTTCCTCTCTCCCCCTTGCTCTAAACTTCTGTGACATGCTGTTTATAGCTACTCTGGGAGCTTGCCAGGGCATTGCTGTTGGTATGAAAGGCAGCTGGCTGCCAGCTCTATAGGGAGAAGGCACCCTCTGCCTGCAACACCCATGCACATATCTTGACAATGTTTGTGATGCTCATTTGCAATCAAACACAGTAACTGCCTCATTCACAACGTAATTCCTTGTTTACCCCAGTTTTCGCTTTCAGTTTTTAATGAACCCATTTCTTCATCTAAAGGTTTTGGTATATTCCCATAATACACCATAATATACACCCCACAAAACAATTCTGGGTATATTGCTGATACCTCTACACGTTCACCCATGTAGAATAGGCCTAATTCCTACAGCTCTGTGTCACTATGGAACTTTCCTGAATAACAAACCAGACAAAAAGCTGCTTATAATGAAGAACTATAATGGAGAATTTTAACACCTCCTTTAGTAATAAAGGAAACTGAATGAAGCTGGTGGAGGGAGAGAGAGTAGGGGTGGAGGAACCAGCATCTGCCTAATGGAAAACCCAAACCATTTTAAAATAAAAGAGGCTTCAAATTACATTTCTAGATGTATAAAATTATCTTTGAGAGAAAGAAGAGATCCAGCTATGAAAACTACAGTCATAAAAAGATTGTAATTTTTAATGTTTTCATGAAAAATATTTACTTATCCTGTGTGGCAGAGGTTGCTGTCATTAAAATATCCTGATTTCTCCTTCATGAAGTTTTCAGAACTGTTTTGTTTATATAATCATAGAATCATAGAATAGTTAGGGTTGGAAAGGACCTTAAGGTCATCAAGTTCCAACCACCCTGCCATGGGCAGGGACACCTCACACTAAACAGTGGCACCCAAGGCTCTGTCCAACCTGGCCTTGAACACCACCAGGGATGGAGTATTCACAACTTCCCTGGGCAACCCATTCCAGTGCCTCACCACCCTAACAGGAAAGAACTTCTTCCTTACTTCCAATCTAAACTTCCCCTGTTAAAGTTTTAACCCGTTACCCCTTGTCCTACCACTACAATCCCTAGTAAAGAGTCCCTCTCCAGCATCCTTGTAAGCCCCCTTCAGATACTGGAAGGCTGCTATGAGGTCTCCACGCAGCCTTCTCTTCTTCAGGCTGAACAGCCCCAACTTTTTCAGCCTGTCTTCATACGGGAGGTGCTCCAGTCCCCTGATCATCCTCTTGGCCCTCCTTTGGACTTGTTCCAACAGTTCCATGTCCTTTTTATGCTGAGGACATCAGAACCGTACACAATACTCAAAGTGAGGTCTCACAGGAGCAGAGTAGAGGGGCAGGATCACCTCCTTTGAATAACTTGAAACCAGTAACATAGTCAGAACACCATCTGCATTTCTGCTTTATAATGTATTCCCACTCTCTGTGCTCAAAAATTACCACTGAAAAATTTAAGGTTGGATTAAGTTTTTTCCTGTTCTTCCTATTGTAGATCTCTGAAAAATGGTCAATAAAATTACTGAAGGTAAGACAAGCACATCTTTTCTATAACACCTGTTTACTGAAGCCAGAAAAAGAGTAATTCGTGTATGAAAAGCAAAATTTCAGAAAAATGCCTGTTCATAACATTAGCCATTCTAAATTTTTTCATGAACACTAGGTACCATCCCAACATTATAATTCTTAGCAAAACAAACTCCTTCTGAATAGACATGACAGGATAAGGACTAGTAACTTGTAAATTTATTAATGGAAACATTCATTTGCAACAGAACTCTAATAACTAATGTGTTATGTATAGTAGTTTCCCTGTTAGTAGTCTACAATGTCTACATATAGTAATCTACAAAGGCTACATTGAGAAATTGAGACTATGGTACTGCATTTTGGTCATAGACTTAAAAAATATATTACACCCACCACTCTTACACAAAAGCAGTGATCGTTTTATTTTCAAACAAAGTCCTGCATTTATGCTGAGAACAATCTATGCATTACCTAAGGTCCTCAGCACAAGGCACACTGGCTTTTTGCAGCGGAATGACTCCATTTCTAAATAAACTCAAACATTCATGGACTTTCATTTAGAAATCTTACACAGTATTTTCCACAGCGAATTAAACAGGGCTAGATATGTTGCAAGGTACAAACACAGCATCCCTTCATATTAAAGACATTCGTATGTGTTATGGACTGTCATATGAGTTATGGCACAGCCTTAGTTGTCTAGTAGTTTATGTGGTATCTACCATCAGAAAAGCCTAGTACCTGGGCACATAGGGAAGAGCACCCAGAAAATGGGACTTACTTAAAAATTATATGTTTAACTTTGTATTACTAACATTTATTTTTTTTCTACAGAAAACAACATTAAGTAAAACAGCAGCTTGCAAGTTATGCTGCAAATGAGCTGGATATATATCGTGACTTAACCTTATGGAACCGTGTGTCCTGTACTGAAAAGAAAGCAAAACAGTTACAGCATTAATATGGCAAGAGTTCTGATTTTTTATTTTATTGCTGAATATTCTTGTATTTTTGTTGTTGTGTAGCAACAGCATCAGGAGATACTAGAGCTTCTTGAAATTTCTTTTAGCCAACATTTGCTTCAACAGCATTCAATTTTTGTTTGTTTATTTTCAAGTATTTACTGGCACCCTAAGTCAGAACTTCAGTCTTGAAATTTTCAAAAATTGTTTCTCTTTCTTAGCAAGTTAACACACGCATGGTAACTCAGATATTCCTGCCAGAAGGATTAGGTCCAACATGTAAGCAGTGTGAGCCACATTATGGAACCAATCTGAGATTTAGATTTTTCATTCTAAAGATTCTTTTTAATTATCATTTATAGGTATTAGAACTGCCCCAAGTTTTGATTTCCATCAAGACTTCTTGCTCTAGTACTGCAACTTGTGTTGGTACACCGATCCCTTCTGCACTGGGGCTTTGTGCCTTGTAGGGTTTCAGTAGAGGTTGACAAACACAAGTCCTACAGTAGATAGGATGGATTTAACTTCATATCCTATTATGGATAACTTCAGCTCATACAAATAACAGTTTTGCTTATTTTACTTGTGTACTTTGGGTACACAAGAATCTAGATATCTGCAGTCATCAATGGAACATAAAGGCTACACAGCACCATACGGGTAGGAATAGGATAATAGAGGACAGTATCGGCAAGTATTTTGGCACTTTACAGATGAAATTGCTCGCTCTACTTAACCCAATTACATGCCACTTCTAGCATGCTGTCAGGCTTCTACAACTGACAGACATTTTATAGCCTGTGGTAACACAGAAAACATATATCTAAAGCAATTTTTCTTAATTAGTTTGCGTTCACTTTTAGGCTTTGTACAAGCTCTGAAGTGGAACATTAACTATATCATGAAATACAGCACTGCTAAAAGGCAGTTCATCTGTAAACCTGCAGGTTGAGAGCATTTGGAAATGTAAAGTGCTGCCTTTGGGAGGAATAATACATGCTGAATTTTCTGGTGTGTGAAACACAAATGAAAATCTAAGGCAATTCTTGAAATTTTGCCTTTATAGGTTACTGAAAACACATCCATAATGTTCCATGAGGCAAATTCAGAGGCTGCAGAGGGGACCT